ACTACTACTACTGCTGCTACTGCTTCAGAGTTCTGCGGATCTTCATACTGTCCGATCAAGGGTTTTTTCAGCAAATTCCTGCTAGAACTCCAAGAGAAGCACCCCGAAGCACCGACGGTGACTCCCAAAAAGCCTGGAGGAGCCCTGCGCCATACAACTCAAAGCTTAAAACCCTCAAGCCCCAAGACTCAAAACCCGACCACAGAAGCCTTAAATAACCGCTACTTCCCAACCAAGCCGCGCCCGTGATGAGGCCTGCGAGGGACGCGAGGACCAGCTGCCGCGCGCGCCTGGGGAGGCTCGAGGGCCCCAAGCTCAAACCCCCTAACTGTAGACCCTAAGCCCTAGAACCAACAACACCCATAAGCCCTAACCCTAGAATCCATAGAACCTATCAGCCCCAAACCCCTAGAATCGCTAGAACCCATAAACTGCCACTTAAGCCCTAAAGCCGAGATTCCAGGAGGGAAAATCCCAGAGCTGTTTTCTCCGGTTCCTTTGTTTCTGTTGCTTTCAAGAAAACATTCTGAAGGCGCTTCTTGCCCTTCATTTCGGAGATTTTTTGAACAGAAAGGGACTGTCTGGAGTTTGGGGTTCTAACTAAGGGCTTCGGGTGCGGCTGAGGGCTCTGAGGGTCTGAGACTTTGCGTTGACAGCTTGGGCTGCAAAAGCCTTTCCCAGCGCAGAAAGTGCAACAAAAACCATCAGCCGCACGATGCGCACTTTCCCAAACTCTGAGCCGCGAAGGGTAGTAACGTATTCAGTAGGAAGCAGCTGCTGGCGCTGGAAATTCGGGAACAGGCAGTCGGACTTCATGAGAAGGCAAGGACACGCGGGCGGGAAGGGGACGCTGAACATCTTGGAAGAGTTGGACTTTGGTATATACACCATCATAAACCGAAAATCCCCGCACCAACCCGAACACAAGTTTTCATAGCCGACACTACCCCAGTGGCAAATCCTACTTTGCCACGAAAGGCTCCCTGATACCAAACTGTAACAAAACCTAAACCTACAACGATTCAGGGAGTCCTGGGACCAGGCTTAAGGGTTAGGGCTCTGCTTTTTTGTCCATGTCTCAGGGCCTAGGCCTGGGCTCTACAGTGACAGCAGCAGCCCTAAGTTCCTGCAAAGCTATGGCCATTTCTTCGCCGAGTGGCTTTCCCAGCTTTCTCTCAAGCGGACGGCCAATCAAGCCGAAGATCACCTGATGAAACAGTATCAAGTAACCACGAAAATCTCATCGTCATCATCATCATCATCATCGTCACCATCACCACTATCATCATTGAGGCATACTCATCGCACCTTCATCTCCACATCTCGAGAGAACACTTCCCTACGACTCAGTGGTTTACATCAGTACATATTGTCTGTATTGTGGTGTACAGTTTAACACCATCTACTGAGACATGATGGCATAGTCTTTGTTGTTTTGTTCATGTTTCTATTGCTCGTCTTCATATGTTTGCTGACGAACCTCTTAGCCGGCATCACAGCGGCAACATTGGAAAACCTAAACACTAGACCCAGGAGCCTTTCGAACTTCGCGCCGGAATCTTGGAGTTTAGGATTTGGGTTCAATGTTTGGGACTCCGGGCCCTAAACTCAAGACCTTGATCCTAAGTCTTCGACACTGAGCCCAAAGATTCTCCATCCCCCGCTTCGAGTTGAAGATCTGAGCGTGGATGGTTTGGGGTTTTGGGGGTGTAGGGGTTCAGGGTTTGGGGCTTCAGGGTTAAACCGAGCCGAGGTCGAAGACGACATGCGCCGATCAGGAATGTGTTCGTGTCGTGCGTGTGTGTGTGTGTGTGCGCATGACACTGGGTGCGTGTGTTTCAACATGGGCCTGCTCATGCTGATGATGATGGCGCTGATGTTGACGATGGCTGATGACAGATGACACAAAACATGGGCCTCAAGCGTCCGTTGATTCTCTCAAGACACCCCACCCACCAACTATCAATATTATCAGGAAGACCCGAAGACTGCCAAACACTACAACACTTCCTGATTGACCAGGCTGAAGAATGAGAAGAGGATTTTCTGGGGTATGTTTTCGTATGGTAATGCAGAGACTACAAGAGGATAGTAGAACTCCTCATGCTCCAAGCCCCTCTTTCTCGCCCTGATTCCCACCAACCTGGCCGAGCCTTGATGATAGCACCAATGAGGACAAAGATCCTGGGAGGTTTCGGAACACTAAGGATCTGGATCCCCAAAGCCCCAAGCCCCTGGACCCCAAACCCCTTTTCTCGAGGAAAGAGACGAACCAAGAGTCTCAGAAGCAGTTGCGAAAATAAGGCATAACACTCTCGATCTGGGTATGCGGATGACCTCTTCACAAACCGAAACCAGTCGTCTTGCTGCGAAGCAATGTAGCCTGAAGCACCGCAAGCTTTGGACCAAAACTCACCTCGTCTGAAGCACCAACTTCCAGAATCGTTTAGATCCAAATCAGCCCTGACCTAGTTCAGGAACCTGCAAGACCAAGACGTTTACGAGATCTGTATCAGCCCCAAACACCACTTCAAACTTAGAAGGACTACGAGCTCCGCCAAGAAAATGGAATCACCAGAGAACGAGAATCCAAATATAGAGTACTCAGGATTCTTATTACACCGACTCTAACTGAAAACTACAGCACTCGAAATGCTCATCTTCAACGCAAAACCCTAATCCCAATCAATCCTATTCACCCCTACCCCCCCAAACTTTAAGAACACCCCCATACGGAAACCCTAAACCCTGAACCAGAGCCCTCCAAACAAGGGCGAGATTCAACGCCGCGGCTGCTGCGAGAAGACCCAGGCCGAGCCCCAGGAAGACGGAGAGGTTGTCGTAGGGCTTGGCCTGGAGGGTCGGAGGCTTGGGGTTTCTGGGCTCTGAGGTTTTGAGATTAAGGTTTGGCGGTGAGGGCTTTGGAATTTTTTTCAGATCAGGGATGCGGATGAGGGTCCTGGGATTCGGGTTGTTGTTGGTGGTTTGGGTTCGTGTCTATGGCTTCCCTACAATACTGTAGTAGGGTCCGAGAGAGACCTTTAATTATAGCGTAATATAACCAAAGTCTATTCCAATTATTACAGAGGTCCCTAAAGAATGTCGCCTGATCGGGTTCCTGGAGGGTCTATTGCGCGGGGGGAAATCGAAATGGTTGCAGTTGAGGGTTAACCCGAAACACCGAATTTTTGGGTAGGTTAGACCATTGAGAGAAAGGTCCGAGTAAGGTCGAGTCATGCATATCTTGATTGGGGCGAGAAGTCCCTGTGACTGCTTTACTACAGTTGCCTAGGATCTTTGGGATTTGGGCCTCTTCCGCCTTGCCAGGAACACCTCGGGTAAGGGCTTGGCTACGAGGCAGGCGACCCCAACACTCAAAAGCTCGTCCCAGACTCCCACTCCTATCCCACTTGAACCCCAAACCCAAAGCCCTACCCTCTGAGCTAGCGGCGTAGTATGGATGGTTGGTGAGGGGCGTGGCGACAATCGCCCATCGCATCACAAAGGATGCAGTAGCGGCCTCAGGATTCAAAGCTCCGCACCCAGACGGTTTAGGCTATAGGGTTCAGGGCTGCCGTGATGATTCTCATCGTCAGGTTGCATTCAACGGCCTTTTTGGAGTGTGCAGGGCTTGGGGTAGGCTTAGGGTAGGCAGCAGGACGCATGCTGTCGTCAAAAAACTGAGACTGGCTTTCTAGGGCGCTTGTTTGGACTAGAGTTGATTCAATTAGCCTGCAACCCTTAAGCGCCTGGCCACTGAAGCCCTCCGACCTCCGCCTAAACCGCGACTTTAGAAAAGCCAAAGCCCGAGAGGCATGAGCCTTGGGCGCTACAACCCCAAAATATTGAGGTTTGCCTGACCAGTAGCAATGGACATTGACAGTCCCGATAGCTTTAAGCTAAGGTAAGGTACACCCCAACACCGTCGATTTTAGTGATCCCAACCATGCGAAAGGCTAAGCCTCCTGCGGGCACCAAAAAGGCCAGGACTTTCCGAGGAAGTCTTCGTCCTGCTCCCGAAAGAACAGCGAAACACTAGCCGAAAACATCTTTCATTTGTTTAAGGTTGTGAGGAGGTTTCAGGGTCTTATACAAAAAGGTTGACATCAGGGTTCCTATGGGTTTCAAGATATCATGGGTACCCCGTTCACTAGGAAACCGCATTTGCTAAACTCCCTTTGGGCCCAGAGTGTCAAAAACCCGCCCACACCAAAGCCCAATTCTTGGCGTTAAGGGTTTCAAGTACTGGGCCAAAAAGGATGATAAGGCTCATTATAGGGTTTTGGGTTGCTTCTTCTTGGTTTACATTTGAAGGCAACTTCTCCCTTGTCCCGTCCTGACATGAACTCGTCCTCGCCGGCGTGTCTCTCCGTGCCAGCGGAGGCGATCTCAGCCACGAGGATCATTGCCACCTTCGCACTGTTGGCTTGAGGTTATGGTCATGGTTTAAGGGTTTAGGCTCAAGGGGGGGGTTTAGGGTTCAGGGGTTTGGGGATTTCGGGGTGAAGGATTTATGCACCTCCAGGCGCCTGGCCCGAAATTCAAGCATTGCGGGAATAATGTAAGGGCCTAAACAATTGCCAGTACTATTTCGGGGGGCAAGACCCTATTCTAATTATTAAGGCCCATAGTAGACTGCAAGGCTTCCAAGAGTTTCTACCTTCACACGAACACACATGGCCTGAGGCTCGAAGTATCAAGGATTCATGACGGAATTTGGGGTTGTGGGAATGCGGATCCTCAGCCTCAAGAAACAGGAACAACTCATAGTCCACCACGTCCCGGATTGGCGAGATAGTGCTATGAATGATGAGAGTACTTGAGACAGCTGGCGATAGAAAATGAAAATCTCGAGACCCTCCAGCACAAACCCGAAAACTGCATGTGCAGCTAAAGAAACACGCGACAACTGGAACCCTGAGCGGAACAAAGACCTACCCGCCATAGAGTCGTGAACCGCCCAGAGACTACCAAACCCGAAGCCCTGTACATATAAATATGAATACATAAATATTTATACATATACATTATGAAGCCTAGGCCCTAAACCCTGCACCACAGGGAAACTCGCTACTCCCCCCAACATTGTAAGCCCTTAACCGTTTAAACACAAGCCCTACACCCACTTCCCCAAATCCAACACAGACCCCCAAAAAACCCAAGAGATCCTTATAAAACCCTAGAGATCCCTCTTACAACCCAAGAGATCCCTGCAAAGCCCGTACACAACCGGAGACCAGCCCGGAAGATCAGTCAAAGAGCGAAAGGTGCAGGGAGGATCGTTCCAAAGGCCGCTGCTAAGCCCGCAAGGATGTAGGTGCGCCTCTTTGGAAAACGCTAAGAAACGGTTCAAGGCTTAGGTGTTGAGGGTTTAGGGTAACTTAAGGCTCTCTTGGAAAAGGATCGCCCGTAAAAGTTAAGGCATCAGCCGTAATTGCAGGATGTAAGGGCGCTTACTTTCCAGCTTTCGGGCAAGTCCTAAACCCCAAACGCTAAAGGTTTCTCTAAACTCCAGAACCCCAAACTTGAAACACAATCCTGGACCATTAGCAATAGCATCGCCCTGAAATCCCTCTAGAAACACTTATAGAACCCTTCAGTTTCAAGCCTATTATAATATTCCCTAAAAGATCCGCTCTTCTCCCCTTCGGCTTCCTCCTCAGATCGGCTGCCCCTTCGTCCTCCGAGGGCATGCACCTGGCCGTTGTTTTAAGGGCTTGAGGCATTAAAGGGTTGAAGCCCAAACTCTAAACCTTACCAGGCTACAACCCGCACAAACCCTTCAAAGCGCTCCTGAACCTGACTAAGCACCAGCAAACCTCACCAAATGCTGCACTCGGGGGCCGTGGCAACCGCTCTTGCTACCGCGATGGCGTATGGCATTTCTGCAAGACCGATCTAGAAGAGGCAGAGGTGCGCATCACAAAAGCCCTTCCGTGGTGTTTTTGCTTGGGGTTCGGGGTTCACGGCTTGACAGGGTCCAGCTATCCTGTCCAACAGTCTGCACAATCCTCACAATACTTCGCGATGTCCCGGGCGTCGTTATACAGTACGCCTGGCTAGGAGCTTTCCGTACCTTGCCATGAGCCTTGATCTTCCTATTACATCCCCTGCATCGCCTCTCCACGCCGCGGAAAGTGAGGTAGCCCAAGGCGCCACCAACCGAGCCCAATCCCGCCTGGGGCAAGGACGATTGAGGATTTACGGCTTGGGATTCACATTGAAATTTCGTTTGAGGAGACTTCACTTGGCCATCTAGCAGAATTGAAAGTACCTATAGTCTCCATGGTAAACCCTTTTGGGGTTACCTAATAGAATCGTAAGTATTCGATTGGTTCAGCACCAAAAGGAAGTACAATGGGGCCAAGCCTTGGTGACCACCCTGAGATCCCATGATTGCCCTATAAACTCTAAACCCTAAAAACCCATAGTCGCTCTAAGCCTCCATACCCTACCGGCCCCTTAATCCACAGAAGGGTCGGAGTAATTACCAATCGTACTCCTTATTATAGCGTTAACTCTCTGGATTTGTACTATTCATACACCTTATGAAAGCCCCCTGGACTGCTTGAGCCGCCCTTGCAAATTGCGCCTCCAAGCCCATCACGGCACCGGCGGCGAGGGATGCAATGCAACAGGTGACCACCTGGCAAGGCAGGATCCGAGCACCAAAATGGCCTGGCAATCTGGACCCTAAACATTAGAACCCGAAAGCCCTAAACCCCTAACCCCCGGAAAAGAAACCCTGGAGAACCCCAAAACCCAAAATCCAAAAGGACTGAAGCTCTGGGCTAAAGTGCCTTCAAGGAGACGATGGGGTCGCTGTGCTGGTGCTTGAGCTCGTCAATGAAAGAAGGGTACCTCGAACTCTACATTTTCAGGGAAAAACCTTATTTCTACAGCTTCTGAGGGTTCCTATTGCAATTGAAGCTATCCCTAAACCCCAAACTGGCAGACTCTCTACATGCGGGTGCTAGGGTCTTGATATTGAAGATCCTACCGTTTGGGATTCTACATCCGGGTCCCCTTTTTCCTGGGACCCCCCATGCAGCCAACATTTCACCCCGGCAAGCCATGCGAGCAATTCCCCCGTTAGCAAGTGATGGGTTACTGTTGCGGCTGGCGTTCTGCTCTTGCTATTGCATCCACATCCCCAATCCCAATTGCTCTGCTTACTCGCGTGGAAGAAACGATTGAAGATCAGGACAAAAGCCATACTCCCTGAAGGGATCCTGCAGCCAAAGTTCTTGTCAAGGTCCAGTGACGCCTTCAGCGCCCCGGCGACCGTGCAAAAGCCCCAACAAAGAAGGATCCTTGCTGAGCTTTTCGGCTTCGGGAATTGGTGACACGGTGGCTTCGCACTCGGGGATATTTCGAGTCTTTAGTCAAGACACAACGTACATCCCGCACTTTAAATCAAAACCTGCAGCATGTGAATCTATTTGGGCACTGCAGCACGAAAAACTTTTGCAGACTTTGTTCTCTTCGCAAAATTGCAAAAAACTGTCTCAAAAGTCGCTTCTGAGACTCCGAGTCTCCTAGGAAGCTCCCTCGGCCCCCGGCTCGGCTGCGGGCAAGATGCCAGTTGGTGGAACCGGCACAGAAGGAGAGGTTGTGCACGTTGTCAATGAGGCCTGACTGTTCAAGAGAGCTTCGGGTTTCTGCCTCTAGTGGGAACTCACTCTGCACGATGATGGCTTTAAGGCCTGAACGGCTGATTTGTTCTGTGGCACGATTTCAGAAAAAGGAGACCAAAATGGGAAAAACAAAGCTGGGTTGGCATGCAGGAAGGCAGAGAAAGCATGACATACCTGTGGTCCTGCCCACGACAATACGACGTTGGGCGGTTTCTGGCAAAGTTGGACTCAAACTATGCAGCTGCCAACTTCAAGACCCTACTGTCTCCACTGAGGTTTCAGGGCCTTAGCGCTTCTGTGTCAAGAGCGTGTAAGGCTCCGCGACCCCTAGGCCTCGAACCCTAAAGCAAGTCCCAAACTTGAACTTATCCCCTAATCGCACAGACACCAAATCCATAACCCCGCTGCCGCGAATCCATCTCATACCCCCTTGGCGCTATTCTTCTTAAAGGCTCTATATCAGGCCTCTGCAATCCCAGAACCCAGAATGTTTCGATCAGATACACCCAAACTCTGTTCATGTCTTATCGAGCCCTTCTGGAGCCCTTGCAGAACCTCAAACTTTAAACCCTAAACATGCAGCTCAAACCCCTGCCTGGAGGGCCGAAGTGCTCTAACCTTAGGCGGGCTGGAATTTGGTACGGGTTGAGAAGGGGGGGGGTGCGGTTGAGGGTTTAGGGTGTAGTAGTGCTCCAGGATTCAGTGTTGACGGTGCGGAATGACAACTATGATGTTGAAGCGTCTGATACCCACATCATAATCAAGATAGCGGTTACCTCACTTTTCTCCAGTGCCTCTGGGGTTCGGCATCTGGTGTTGTGGCTTGCGAGCTGCTTGGGCTTTTCGAGTGTTTCTGCACCAAAGCTGTTGCAGGCTAGAGTTTAGTTTAGTGTGTGGGGTTGAGGGTACTCGACTACCAAGTTACGACCAAGATGAGGATGTTGAGATTTCAGGGTTGGTCGGTTCGGATCGTTCTTGGCTTAGGGCTTCAGAATCTCAGGCTTTACGGGTTTGGGGCTTCAGGGTGCTGGCTTTGCTGCAGGCAAGTCTCGTTGTGCAGGATCAAGAGTTGAGGGTCCGTCGGCTGAAGGTCTTTTGTAGGGTCTTCTGGCTTTGGGGTTTTGGGGCTTGAGGCCGTCGTCGAGGAGATTCGGAAAGAAAGCGGGAGGCTGGGAACAATGGCAGATTCTCTCCCAATAATACACTCCTGCCACGAACAACTCGTCATGATACCCATAGCCTACCCATAGCCAACTACCAAAGGGCCATAAGCAAACGTCACCAGAAACGTAACCATAGCAATAGGCGCATAACAGTAGTAGTAGTAGTAGTAGTAGTAGTAGTCGTCATCGTCGTCGTCGTCGTTGTGATAGTAGTAGTAGCAATACTACGTCTGTCAAAGACGCTCGAATCTTCACTTCAACCGCCGTTTTGCACTAGAGCACTAAGTAGGCCTCACAGCACAAGAGCAGTAGTGAGACTATAAGCATAACAAAATGTCAACAACGGTAATAGTCATCATCTTCTTCTGCTGTAGCTTCATCGTCGCCAAAAATAAAAAAACCCAGGCATGATTTACCGCAATCCAGCTGCCACAGCTCCGGGATCTTCTCCACACCAGCACCTGGATTCAGTGTTAGGGTCAAGGGTCGAAATCAGGCGTAGGTTCAGAACTTAAGTCAAGAGCTGAGCCTTCACGATCAGAACAGGGTTTTGGCTCTTGGTTTCGGAGACAGTCCCTTCCATTTTTGTTGCTAGCATAGCTATACATGATAAATATGCTACTCGCTCAATTCTTAGGGTTTTGTATCACACAGCCATCAAAGGACTACCAGTATAAGACCTCCATCTGAAGTTGAGGGTCCAGAACTCACGGGCCTTAGGAGACGTCTCATGGCGGAGGTGTCTAAACCCTAAACCCCACAACTCAGGCGGAAGATGCCAAAAAGGGTTCAGCCCCGCAGACAAAAGCAGCATCAATATCCTAAAAACAAGCCCTAGAAACTGCCCCAAAGCCGAGATGCAGTACGGAACGGAGATCAAGCCCAAAGCAATGCCAAGGACGGTGATGATGATCCTCAAAGGTGGTGATAGCTTGCTTTGGGCTAGAGTCGGCTAGAGGACTAGGTTCGGGCTAGCACCGCACGAACCTCACTGGCTCCAATACAAGCTTGAGTGACTTGCTCAATGCTAGTCTTGCAAGATCGTTCATCAGCGGGGTAAAATTCCAAGCAAGCTTCAGCAAAGTGACAAGACGTTCATCTCGAGAAGATGCCGAACAAGCTCGCAGACCATCGTGGCAAATTTGGAAAATCATCTGACAAGGATCCCGCCCCTGTACAGGATGTTGCGATGCCTTCTAAAGACGTTGCGTGGGGCTTGAGGGGAAGAAAGGTATTATTCAATTTGCGCGTGTAGACAGCGAGCTTTTCTACACCCTGGAGCCTTAAAACATCAAGCCCCAGCGGTCTCAAGCCCTAAAAAGCTAATAAATCGCAAAGAACTGAAGCCCTGAATCCCTAAACCCTAAACTTCCTTTGATGCCGACCCCAGCTCTAAACCCCAAACACCTTTCACCCGCTATCTGCGAAGCCCTTACAGGCAAAGGCCTAAATCCTAAATCGTCACATCAGGCAACACTATACCATAATATACTATAACTTGCTATAATATACTATAATATACTGTGCTAGAATATGCTGCAATATACTATACTACAATATACGGTTACAAGTAAAGCCCTGGATGCGCCCCTGGAGCCTCAATGCCCAACTTTTATGAGCCAAGCGACAGATCCACACCAGTTCGGCGAGTGATCCATGGCACGTCTAGGAGCTCCTCCAGGGAAGCTTTAGGATTTGGGGTGTTTAGGGTTGGGGATTGGAGGGTTTAGGGTTAAGGCGAAGTTGAGATGATCGTTTTGCCGCAGCCCCAAAGAAGACGATTGAATAGTGTGTTTTACTGCAACCTCAGGCCCTGGATTCGGGACCAAAGTTCACACGCTCCTAAAAAGTAGTATATACTCAGTGTCTCTGCAAAGATCATAGCAACCACACCGCGTAGGGACCGATCGTGAGCAGTGCTGCCGCATCAACCCAAGATCGCAAGGCTTGAACGAGGCTCTTGACGCCGACCCCTTCGAAAAACAGCCACTGATCCACATAAGCCATACTCCCATCATCGTCGTGATCGGCTTCGGCCTCCACCTGTTCGTCACCATCAGCAACATCACCATCGAAACCAAACGTAATCACACGGCGTAGTGCCAGCACGAGCATCATCAGCATCAGTACCACCAGCAACATCACGATCATCATCGTCATCACAATCACCAGCCGGGTCGGCATCGCATCACCAGCACGAGCATCATCGTCGTCGTCGTCACTGCCGTCGTCATCAGAATCATTAGCATTACTACCTATCGCCGACAGAAGCATCACTCGTAAACCAGTATCATGAGTGTGGTCAGCACCACGCACCACCATCGTAACTGCCATCAGCTGCGAGGTTAATTGCCCTAGACCTAGACCGCAACCCAAGGCTCTAGACCCTACGCGCGGGAGTCTACACCCTGAAAACTTCCCTTGTCCGCATCCTTCAAGCCGCCACCATCGGCCTCCTGAACAGCCAGCTGAGGCTGTGCCGTACGTACGTACATGCATACATACACACATGGCTCTTGAGGCCTCGAGGTTTACAGTACTACAAGACACACTAATGATGATAGTGATGATGATGCCTATAGTAACTGTGGCGATAATGGGTCGTGCGTGGACGTTCGCGTGCATGCGTGCTGTCTTCAGCCCTGCCTCTTACTTCTTTAGTCAGTTGCTGCTGCTACTCGAGGCTACGCCAGGTGGTCTTTCCCTCAGCAACCCATTCATATGGTAAAAAAGCACATGGAACAAAAAACCACGAGTACGATTTAAGGTGAACATCAACCTCAATGAAGCGATGGCACGCTTGATTCACGAGGTAGGCAATCTGCACCAGCGGGACTCGCCGGCTTTCACAAATTCACAATGAGATTACGGTTGCAAGCACATGCTCATATTGGAATGCAGTCAGCATTTACATGCCGCAGCTGGCATTGCCTTCTGCGCCTCCTCATTGCATTGTGATGTAGCCGACAGACTACGCAGGTCAATTTCTCAGCTGTTGAAGGTGAATAGGGCGTGGTCTCCCTTTGCTCTAGTTCAAAAGCCTGAACACTTCGTAATACTCCCTTATACTGTGTTTGTTACACTAAACCCTAAGCCCTGGTCTACTTCTGCACTTTTTCAGGTTTGGCGCGGTTGTAAACGCCACTGCAGCCCTAAACCCTGAACCGCATTGAGCTCCAAGTTCTTGTCAAGCACTGACGAGAGAAGCTCGACTGTGTCGGCCCAGAGCTAACATTTGAGATGTTTGGCTGTCGGTTCAAGGCTTGAGTTGCAGGCTCCGTGGCCGTAAAGCCTAGCTTTGCCCTGCTCGCAGGGAAACTCCCGCTCCTACCTACAATCTCAAGCCGTTGAGGAGAGTCTGAAGCTCAGAGAACCATCAACAAAGCCCAAGATCAGCAAACAACTCGTTTCACGGCCTGGGTTCAGGCCCTAAATCCTAAGGTCCTAAACCCTAGAATCATACCTGAAGACCATGGCCTCCGGAGCAGGAGCCGCGGTGTTTGCTGCGGCTTCGTCCTGCCATGCTCCGGCAATGGAGAAGGTACGCGGGGGGTCTGCTTTTAAGGCTTAAGGTGAAGCAGAGGCTTTCGGCAGTTTGGATTTGGCGTGTAGGAGCTTTGAGGGTTCATGATGTGGGAACTGTGGGAGTCTGGATGTACTGTACGGTTTCGGGATTGTGTTTAGGAGTCTGGTGAGTCTAGTGTTTGAGTGTCTATTCCAGGTAGGGGAGGAGGCGGAGCTTCTTGTAAAATATCGAGCACTTGTGGGCTCTGACACCCTCGATCCTCGATCCCGAACCTTCCAGCAACGCAGCCGAACTTCAGTTCTACACCCATCTGGCTTTGGCTTGGCTTAGGGTCCGCGATGTACAGCATGAGCACACGCGACTGATGTACCCCCAAGGACCCAAAGCGCAGGCAGGATACCCGGAATAAACCGGAGAAGAACAAAGGCTTGCATCAGAGTCGTTCTTGCTGCAATCTTTCACGTGCCCTCTCCCTACATCCCTGAACCCGAAGCACATCCCAGATCAAATGCTTAATCTCCAGGCCCGAAGCTCCAAATCCTTGATCCCCTAAATCTCCGACTTGTAACCTGCAATGAACGCCAAAACTCAAATTCCTCAATCCCGGAATGCGCTTCTTGATGCTACCTGAACCCTGAACCCTAAGCCCTAAACTATAAGAATGCCAAACTCAACGGCAAACCAAGGCCCCCACAGCGATGGGAACCTCGAGCTCTCTCGCCGCCATTGCGCCAGGAGAGCTTCTCGTGCTAAGGTTACCACTGTAAGGGTAGTTCTCTAAATTAGGGTCCCTTTTGGGGTCCTTCTTGTGAGGGTGTCGTACTATTTTGGGGACCTAAAGACGAACCCCCAATTTAGAGAATTACCCATAAAACGTGACTATAAAGCGATACTATAAAGGACACTATGCAGGATAGCATAAGGGACACAATTACAAGGGATACTGTAAGGCCCCCTCCCCAGAAAGAGCTCATGATTAGGGACCTCTATAGGACCAGAAAGAAAGACGAGAAGTACCACCCAAAGTGCCACCTACTAGTAGTAATGCTTCTTCGACGAGAGTATGAAGGGTCCCAAGGAGTTAGGTTCATGAGTTTCGGATTGGCTCCTCATGGTGGGGATCTAAGATCTGACGCTTCAAGAGAGCCTTAGGAAACCCGCACACCAAAAAAACAAGCAGTTTGCGAGAGCCCCAAACCCACACACTAAACCCTAAGCCCTAGACCCGGAGCCCCAACTTCCTACGAAGCCCGCTGCGGTCTAACGCTTGGGTTTCGGATTCCAGGTTAAGGAAGGCTTGGAGCTTTGGGTTCAGGCTGTGGGTTTGACCTGAAGTAGGTCGCTAGCTCCTAACCTCTAATGCTATCCACCCGGCACTACTGTTCAGTTCACGCCAAAACCCAAAGCGTCATGCGCAAACCTCGCGGAAAAGCACTACGAAGCCCTAAAAACTGAAAGCCCCAATGCCCCAAGATCCTAAGGGCCCCAAACCTAAAGACGTTGCAGAAAAAACGCCCCATCAAAGCTCTTGTCTTCTGCCGCCTCTCTGGTCCCCTTTCGAATGCTTCGCTCACTTCAGAGGCACGAACTGCGAGTTTTTGCCTCGGAGAAGAGGATTCGCGAAAGACTCCGGCCGTCCAAACGTTTTTTCAAGCCTCATAAGACTTTGGGGTATTAGGGCCCAAGGCTTGGGGTTTTAGCGAGTCTGGGTATTGGACAGTTGATTGCTAGAGCTTTAAGACTTTAAGATTCTAGGATTTAGGGAAGGCTCGGGGTCCAGGCTGAATCATACGGCTCCCTCGGCGAAAGGTCGTCTTGCCGAAAGCACGAAAGTGTAAGAGAGCCAAAACAAAATCCAGTGCCCTGCAAAGCTGCGGATGCCTTGACATGAACCGAATGTGTGCAGAGTTTCGGGTTGCAGAACCAAGCTACCCTAATGCACGCACTTCCAGCTGAAACCCACGAATCCTCGACTCCTAGACGCCAAACCCCAAATAAGCGGCTTGTTTTCAGACTTAAAAGTGTTCTGATCCGTCCTGACAGCTGTATCGCCAACTGAAGATGTGCGCTAGTAACTTGGGCCATGAGTCAAGTGACCCTAGTCAAAACTCGTCATAACCCGAATCAAGTAATCGAAACCATGTTGAGTAAGTAAGTCCCATGATCCTTGAAATACGCATCCTGATCGAAGAACCAAAAACCGACCTGTTAGCAATCACAATGTTCAATACCAGATCCAGAATCAGAACTTTACACTCCAAACTCGACCCTATCAGCCCATGTACTTGCGGAGGGGGCAGGTAGAGGTAGTAAGTAACCTACGCACCGTAGAAGTGACTGGGCTTTTGGGTCTGTGCATCGACCTCGGACGCACAGCCTTCTCCACAAACCCAATACAGTTCAAGGCTTGGGGTTGAAGGGTTTAGAAAGGCTTCAGAGAGCTTTAGAGTCTAGCTTAGAGTGTAGGGTGTCAGGGTGTTGCGATACCAGGCAAACGAAGATGAAGCCCGCAACCCCTAACCCCTGAAACTTCACCAGTGCCCAATGACTGAAGCCCAAGACTGAACCCACAAAGCAGCAGCCTTGAACCCTAAATATCCCTAAACCACCCAAACCCGAAACCCCGAAACTCCACGTTCCCCAAAATTCCCTTGACCCTGGACCCTCAACTCGAAGTCGATGCTAAGCCCCGGGACCCATCATCCCGGCTCGACCGTGCTTGATGGGCCTGGGTTCGCATTGTGTTTGGGGGGCTGTAGAATTCGACAAACGTATCCTTTGGCCTTCCGGGTTAAAGTCTGAGGGTCTTGGGTTGTACCCGCCTGCAGCTCAGCTTTTTTTGGGGGAAGTCGGCTGGTGACGGGGTCTCTGGAATCAGGGCGTCTAGTCGCCCCTACTTGGAGGATCATGGGACTTAGTAAGTAAGGTTATAAGTCCCTTAATTGGGGTTATAAGTGTAGTTACCCTAATTATAACTCTACTTACTAAGTCCCATGATCCTTGAAGTAAACCCCAAAGGGCCCCCCCCCTTAAGCGCTTGAAGTCGGATCGAGGCTCCGGAGCTTGGACGGACTGAGGCTTGGGTTCAGGAGCCAGGACAGAATGACACCCTTGGCATCCCAAAGACGACGTCTAGCAAGGCTTCACGCGATCTGAAACAGTCTACGCTGTCATTGTGGCAGAAACATGGAAAATGAGAGAACGAGCTTTGGCAATCAGGCAACTTCGCCCCTCAAGCCCGAAAGCTTCACAAGACCCCTGTTGAGACACGCTTACAGCAGCACTTCTTCAAGTAAGACATTCTGCTTCTCATCGGACGGCTCATTTTTTCATCAAGTCCTTACAACAGAACCATCTTACTTCTCACAAGGGGTGTCGTGGAAACACACTTCAGGAACAAGGCCTCGAAGAGCAAGACCGAGGCCTTGTCTTTTCCTATGTCGAGGTTTATGGACCGGACTGAAAACCACACTCACTAAACCCTAGACCCGAGAAAGCCGAAACCCTTAGCCCCTGCGGCCCCGTAAGCCTGAAAAGCTTGCTGCCCCAGAACTTATAACCGCAAATCCTAAACCCTGAACTCTGAACCCAAAGCCACTCCAAAACCGTAAAGCGCTGTTGGGTGGCTTGTAGGTGATGGAGAACTCACCGAGGTAGTGGCCGATCATCTCCTCAGGATCTTGAGCGATCGTGGATCGCGAGACGAAGTTAGGGCCTAGGGCCTAGGGCCCTTGGCAGGGTTTAGGGTTTGGGGTTTGGGGTTAGGGTTCAGGGTAAGGTTAAGGGTTTAGGGCAAGGGGAGGCCTTGGGCCGGGTTGGGGGTTTGGGGGCATTTAGGGTGGGGATCTGAGATGTAGGGCTTGGGGATAGTTCACCGTTCAGAAGATGTCGAGCGCTGGACGACTTCCGAAGATCATGATCATGGTGTTGGCCGTACTGCTGGCGCCACATGGCGATGGCGATGGCGGGTGCCGAATGTGACGACAGTGATGATGTCGATTGGTCGTCGCGGTGGTGGCGACTGTGAGGCGGTCGTTCTCAGAATCATGGCCGGATGGACCGCGAAACTCGCATAGAACAACAATCACATGGTACCATCAGCAGAAGCTCTGATTCAATCATGATCGTGCAGATATCGCATGAGTTGGATAGGGGTCAGCTCTTCGGGCTGCAGGCTACCGTTCTGACATGCTCAGGCTCAGAGCCCGATTACATGGTGGGCATTATGCAGCCTGGCACAGAAGGCATCAAAAACGCGCCACAATGCTCCGTTCTTTTGATCAAGCAAACTTTGAAAGCCCAAACCCTGCAACCCCTGAGGCTGGGACGGGCTTGATCTCAACGTTGATGTACCTGGGCTTCTCGCCGCGAAACCCTAAATACCCAAAGCACAGAAGCCCCAAAACCTCAAGTTTCGGGGGTGTGGATCCGCAGCCCTGCAGCCAATGCCCTAAGCCTCCCAAGCCACCCCTCATCCTGAACGCTTAGGGCCTTAGAGATCAGAACGTTCTGGGGCCTTTATGACTTTATGGTTTAACATTCAGAGCTTGACGGTGGCAACAGGAAAACTGTGTCGGTTTGAACCTCAGGCCGTGCAGTCTTGGCCTCGGGGCCCCAAAGCCTCAGGCCTGCATCCAGCTGCTTGAACGACTCAAACAGGAGGTCGTAGCCCTTGTAGTAACCCTTCGAGCAGCGCTTATGGTAACCCGGAAAGGAACAATGGTAACACACCCCGAAAGGAACCCTGGAAAAGGAACTCTGAAAGGGGCCCTTAAAGGAACCTTGAAGAACTCCTGAGGAATCAAGTCCAGGCTGCTGCTTGCCGTTGTAGACGCCGACCACAGAGCCTGGGTTCAAGTCTCTGCACTGGGCCATCTTTGCAGTGACCCTGAGCCCCAAAGCCTTGATGTGTCGGGAGTGTAGGGTAACGTAGAGACCCGATTCAGAAGCCTTGGCCCTTTTACCCCAACAAATAAGAGACCTACTAAGAGCCCAAGGTTTCTTTATCAGATTCCCCATTACCGTGATACAGCTGCTTATGCACCTTGATCCGGAGGCTATAGGACCTGTAAGCTCCTTCCGAAGTATAGCATACTTCGGGTGACCGTCGGCGATGCAACAATCAAGCCTTTGTTGTGCATTCCTTGAGTTTCTTTGGCTTGCGGAAAGAAAGAGGCACGGTGCGGGTATGAGGATTTGGGTTCCTCCTAGCATGGAGATCTTAATCAACTGATAGCAACACGCCTTTATAGTCCCAAAGCAGCTAAACAACAACTACCACAAACTCCTGCGTTTTTGTTGCAGATAGCCCTTCTACAACCACTCTACAGAGCCCGCTGCAAGTTGACAGGCTCTAGTGATGCAACGTCACTACAGGGTCGGCATGCCCTGCTCAGCTGCAAGACAAAACGACTGAATGTACTACGCTTGTGGAAGTAGCAGAAGCGAATAGCTGTACGCACGGGTGCCGCCAGCAGTGCACGCAGCTCCCTCACCGAAACCAAAACAAGGGAACACGGGATGCGTCACCCCTACTTTGACTATTGAGGTCCCTTCTTCTGTGCCGAAGAGTTCACCGGAAACTTGTTGCACATCTTCGAGTTGGGGGGAGGGTGGTATTTCGCAACGTCTCTCCGATGTCTTCGGCCCTCTACTAGGTTGTTGGCCCTTTTAATCCCTAGACAACAAATCCCACATAGATCCTCTCGCCCTACTGTTAAATCCCCCGGCTTAACCACCATGTGCAAGGAATGCAACACTGAAGTCAGTTTCAATGCCCAAGCCTGAAACCACGAAATTTCCCCCCCCCACACACACACATATTAAGCCCGAGTTCTTACAACCCTGGATCCAAATCTCTACACGCTCCATCCATCAATCCCGAATCCCTCCACCCAAAACCCTAAATCCTCGATCCAGAACTTCGACATGACTAATCCTTCACTCGTTGCCAAGGCTCCAATCATCTCTGGCCTTTCTTGAGGGGAGGCGTGCATGAGTAGTTGTCTCTAGGATCGCTTTTGAGGTCCACCAAATAGTAGGGCACCCTCACGAAAAGGTCCCTTAAAGGGACCCTAGTTAAGAGAACTACCCACATGAAACTTCCAGGGATTGGGTTGCAAGTTCACGGCAGTGCGAATGTGCGTGCAATGGGCAGCGGCATGCTAGAACGAGAGATGTTGTAATAGGGTTTAGGTTTCGGTTTGAGGGTTCAGGGTTTAGGTGGGCGGCCTGAGATTTTGAGGAGAAACTTACAGGGCATGTTGCCACGAAAAATGAATTCCCAAACCTTCCATCAAGACTTCCCTAAGGCCTAGACCCGAAAACCCTAAAAACTCTAAACTTGGGAAGGTCACCAAAGCTTCGATCTTCATGTTAAAGGCTTCCGGCTCTGGCTTCAAGGATTCGAGAAGCCCCAAAGCACTGAGGCGTTCCCGCCATCTGAGTTCCTTCGGCCGGGATGCACGATGACCATGTTCCGCAGATGGGTCTTTACGGCCTCAAAGAGGCAACCAGGCTCTCCCCGACGGCTAGAAAGAGAAAGGCAGATGCTTCACTTACAAGCTTGCTTCGCACAGAGAAATAACCACAAAATCCCGGAACCCGAAGATCCCTGCACCATCTTTCTCCAAGTCCCTAAACCTCAAACACCAAATGCCCTGCTTGATTCCCTCAGCCCTAAAGTAATACTCCCTGCAGTTCGGAGCCGGCGATTTTGAGATCCCCGAGATCCCTAAATCGTGGTTTGAAATGCTACTCCACCCTGCTTTGGGCTTTAGGTATTAAAGTCTGACGGTTTGGGTTCGGGGTTGAGGGTAGAGGTTTGGGGATTCCTGACTTCAAGGTTGACTTCGAAGCAACTCCTGCCTCTGGCTTCTCACCATAGGCGGTCTCTCGCTTGGCCTGGACGTCCGGTTGGGCGTGGGCTTGAGGGAGTTGAAGGTCGAACGTTCAATCGGTTCTTGCTCTCCCCCTGGATGCCAGTCCTGGCCTGTTCCCAGGTCCCAGAAAGGAGGAACCAGCTATCCAAAATGCTAGCCAACAGCCAGACAAAACCCCAACACCCTGAGCCCTGAACTGTAAACTGAAAAGCGCGCAAGCCCATACACCACCCAAAACCACCCAAAACCACCAAAGCCTTAAAACCCCTAACCCCCAAAGCCCCAAACTCCCAACAACTCCGCGGAACCCTGAACCCTAAACCCTAATACCGAGGCCTTTCTGAGCTTCTTCAGCACCGTGATCGGCCTCAGAGCAGGATTCGGGCTAAGATAACTCTCAGGGTCCTAAGAGAGTAGAAATGGGTTTTGGGGGAGATATCATACTATAAGATTCATAGGAGCCGTACGGGATACTGTCAGTACTTATTCTGGCCCGAGTGTCGGTAGGGTAGGTTCAAGGTGCAGGGCGTAGGGCTTAAGCTTTAGGGTTTACGGTTTAAAGCTTTAGGGTTTCTTCTTGCTACACCAGCTATACTGTCTGTACTTGTCTTCTCATTCTTGGAGGCGCTCAAAGCCTCAAGCTCAAAACCCCCCACCTGAATCCCACATGACAGAACTGCTGGGAGTCCTGCAGTGGCCCTACTACTGAAATGCCCAGACGGGCAGCTCAAAGGTTGAAGCATTGGATCAAAACTTTTGGGGCACCGTTTGATCTTGAGGGCAAACATGTTGAGACTACAACAAAGCCCCGGCTTGGATCAAGGCGCCTTCACCAGTTTCCAAAGTCTTTGCCACTGAAGAGCAAAGCGCAACTCATAACCCTAAATCTATACTGCTACACTGCCAAAAACCCCTAGAAGCAGCCAAACCGTAGTCTCAGAAACACTCCGGTGACTGAGGCACCGCGCTTGCGCTTGATTCCGCGAGAGAACTTTCGTCGCTGCCGGGCGCAGAAGAGCTCCATAAGGTCCTCTTTGAGGGCTTCGGGTTTAGGGTTCAGGGACCTCCTTACCGGGTCGAGATGAAAAATCAAGTGCTTAATCTTTGCGTTTAAGGTCCTCTTTGAAGCCTCTTCGTCTGTGTGGCTTGAAGCAAATTCGGGCTTTGCAGGCTTTGGGCGCGAGGTGAGCCTTAGAAGGCTTCAAATGCGGGATTTCAAGTTCAAGAGCGGCTGGCTCGGACGAGTTGAGGAGAGGAGGTCATGTCGTGGAACTGAGGATATGGAGTTGGGGACGTGGGCCTTTGCTGTTGAGATTTCGGCTTTTAGGAGGTTTGCAGTTTCGTTGCAACGCAGCTGCGTGCATGCCCTTCTCTTTGGCTTGCCATGCATGCGGCCGGAATTTGACCATGGTGCACATCGCAATGCAAATCGAAGGGGCCGCTGAGCTTCGGGATGTTGTGGTAATCCTGTATGGCTCATCATGAACCCGAAACCCAAAACATCAATCATCGACCATTCGGTCTGCTACCCCAGGCTTAAAACTGTGGGCTGGGTGAAACGCTGTTTGAACTTGAGCATCAACATGCCCGTTCATTTGGTTTCTGATGCCCTGAAGTAGGTACATACCATCTGCCCGGTGTTGGAAGATGCCTGCATGAAGGAGTCCCTACCTGGCGGCCTGCATCACATCATCGACCATGTTCTGTTGCGCCGTGCTGTGGCCTGCATGGCATGCAGCACGCACACCGGATAAGAGCGCAGATCGTCATCACAACCATCGAAAATGCTGCCATCGAGGGCACATCCGTTCCAAATGTGGCATACCAGAAACCTTCAAAAAACGCAAAGGCGAAGTAAATGAAGCCGCCGTACATGGAGCATCCCAAATTGACCAGGACCTCCTGGCAAGCACTTTGGCGCTGTCGCCGAACACGACGAGCGAGACACACAAAAAGCTGGAGATACGTTGGACCGATCGCCAACCACCAAGATGGAATGTAGAATACCATCCTCGCTGCTGCCGTGTAGTTCTCTGTCCGCAAATGATAAGTTGCTGTCCCGGCATAGAACCAAAGGAGGGGGCTTCCAGCAGCAACAATCCAAGTGTAGGGCACTGTGCTGGTTGTGAGCTTCTTGAAAACCTCTGACAGCTCGTTCTGAATGAATTCGTTGAACGCTTGCACCGAGCCGAACCACAACACCAGGCATTTTTCAAGAATCACGCGATCGCATGGAATTTTCTTGCCGGTTTGGCGGTCGAGGTGGTTCACAGTGCAGCAATGGGAGACGGTGTCGTCCTTGACGGAGAACGTTTCCAGCTGTTTGACAATGCGATCGACCGCTCGGAAGTGCGCACGCAAGGAGCGGCTCACCAATGAGAAGGTGATCAAGGAACCAGGCAAGGCAATGCTGCCGAGTACCGCCCAAAGCAAAAAGCCCAACCGCTGTCCATCACCCAGAATAGTGGTCACGCCAGCGGACTGCCTGAGAATCGCACCCACGACCGATGCACCGAGCATGATGCCGTTTGCTCCAAAGGACGAAGGTCAAAGAACTGGCCAGCAAACCGACACCAACAGCCATGGCTGATTGTCCGTTCCGTTCGATGCTGCAAGGAAGCAAACATGCATGCTGCAGTAGCAATGTGATTGCCACAGATGCGCTCCCGACCAGAACAGCCGGCAAGCCGTTGTACATGACCAGCAGCAACAATATCTTAGCCACAACCGATCCCTGCCAAGAGTGACTCCAAAACTGCGAGACACGCTCTGTCACACCGCTGCATCCGTAGAGCTCCCGGGAATATCGCCCATCGCGTAGCGGCCGCCCAAAGCGCCACAGTGCTCGATGTGCCGCCGTGGTCCGCAACATGTCGGAACTTGTGAGCTGAAGTTGGCTAATGAAGTCAGCCACGGCATCCTGCATCATCTTGATCTGCCCAAAATCTGCATCCGACACAGCTGCTTGCAAGATGTCCTTGTCTTCATGGTCCCTGTCGTCATGCTGCACCGCACGTTCGTCAGGAACCTAGTCGTCATCGACCCTGATCTGAATCTCCGCATCCACTGACATGGGTGTCAGCAGCTTGCGGCCGTGATATGTACAACTCTTTCAAAACATCGGCATGCAAGTCGGATACTTCGAGCCACAAAGCCGAAGAATCAGGTCACAACAACAGCCTGGTCTGGCGGCTCGGGAGAAGCCTGTCAACCTGACAAACTAGTCAGCCCACCCTCCACCCCCATGAATCACATGGCTTTTGTCGTCTATTCCGGATGTTGGGCACCGTAAACCCTACACCCTGAAACCTGAAGCCAAAACCCTAAACCGCGGGTTTCTGAAAGCTCCAGAAAGGATCCTGGTTGCTCATGTCCAGCAGCTTGTCCAGGTCGATGCCCCCTTGGACAGGACTTGCTTTTCTGCGGCGTAGGGTTACGAGATCTTGTTGATGGGTCCCATGGAAATGACAAGGCTGGACTTGTCGGTGGGCTTGGTATGGCTTGGTGATAGTGAGGTTAAGGTCCAGGGTGGAACTTTTTGGGCTCTAAGCATTAGACAGGGTCGGGCGGTGTGGGGGATCCGGGAGTGTTGGGTTGAAGCGGTGAGATCGATCGCAACTCCTCCGATGTAGGTCGTACTACAGGCTCCTGAACTCGACAACCCCCTGCAACCCAACCGACGTAGGTCTTGGGAGGCTCAGATTCTGGTTCAAAGAAGCGAGCAGTCAGCGAATCGACATCAACAGTAGGCCGGCAAAACTTGGTGCTGCAGAAGTGGCATTGAAGCAACGAAACCGACATTGCTGCAAAACGCTCATTGCAAACGCCATCCCTTGTTCCACGAGGTAGGGACACTACCTCCCCGAAGTCTAATCAGCGACCAGACATGAATGTTGAGCAACAACAGCTCGCTACAAGAAGCGACAACCATACTCGCCACAACTTCCGCGGGGATCGTTCTGGTGTTAGCACGACAGACAGCATCGAAAACTCCTCAGGCATCTGCGGTAGGAGTACTTCTTGAAGGTGCGCTTCTTGGGGGCATCCTCGCTCTTTCACGATTCCGGCGGCCAAAAAAGGCCGGACTCGGCCCACACTTACTCGTTATCATTTTTTCAAGTGGATCCACTAGAAAGCAGAGAAGCCCAAGAAGGGTTCTTCAGTTAGCAGATCCACTGGCTCTGGATTAGCAAGCCAAGCCGGAACCCAACTAACCCTACTTCTCCAGCTGCTCCAAAACCGTAGACCGTTGAACCAAAGCCACATGCACACAGAACGCTTGAACAGCTTGCTACAATGGCGGAAATATCACCAAAAACCTGATTCACATCATATACCCCGAACCCAAACCCCATACTGATACCCCGTTGACAAGGCTAAACCTCAAACCGGAAACCCGAGACAGGCGCTCCTCGCCCTCCGCCATGCTTTGCTTGTCTTCGGGGAGTCTCAAGAAGTTGGCCGAGAGGCTGCGTCCCTTCGAGCCAGATCCCATGGCCGCCGAAAACATGAGCTCTGAAGTGTTGGGGTTTGGGGTTGGGGGCTTAGGGTTTGAGCAGTGTTTTGGGTCTTCAGGAAGGTTCAGGGTTCCGGGTCTGGAGTGCAGGGAGGGTTTAGAGTTTGGGGCTTAGGATATGTAAAAATGCCAGGCAGCACTTTCCACACCAAATAAATAACCAAGCTGCACCTGAAGCTTCGGACGAGCCTGCAAGAAAGCCAAGAAATCCCACGATTGCTTGTCACGGAAAGCCTCTGCTGCTTGACCCTCCATGACCGGCTGAAACTGCTGCTACCTGCTGCCGCCGGCAAACTGCTAGCTAGCCGAAAATTGAGTAAGCCTCTGCCGCGAAAGGTACTGCGAAAAACATAAGTTCCTTGCTGCACGCGTCTAACTGGCCTGAGCCCGGAACCCTGAACAATGAACCCTAATTGTAAAGCCGAAAACATGACCCTATCTGCTGGCTATTTTGGCCGCCTGTTCTTTGTTGGCATACTTCTCTTCCCCTGCTTTCATGCTGATATGGAAAGGTACCGAACACATGAAGCAAGCCCTTGCGGTTCATAAAGTCGATGATTAACAATGGGTGAGCGGATTGTTCGGGGCAAACCACCAGAACACAACGACGTGCACACGGTGCAGCACTGAACATCGACGCACATCTCGAACCTGTTCAGAGGTCTGCCAAAGGTTTCAAATCTGGATCCAGTCCACGCCGTCAGAGCAACAGGTGGGACAGCGACGATGGCACTACTTCACTTTGCCTGGGTGGCCCAGTAAGCATGAAACAGCAGGGGCGACGATTGCATACGTTTACCTTTTCTGCTTGGTTTTTTGCGAAAATTTGAATGAACACTCAAACCACGAAAGCATGTGAAAAAGTCGAAGCTAGAGCTAGAAAATATGCCTATGCTGCCTAGTTGCTCAGCATAGCCAACCTCTTCTGGGCAAGTGTCCACAACCTCTCGCAGCAAAGTTGCAGCCTCCTCAGTCATTCCACGTGCTTCGAGCAGCATAGCTAAGTGGTTGATAGTACTGACTCTCTGTGGGTGTGCTGCATCGACGTGGGTGCGAAAACCATCCAGTGCCTCTCGAAACAAAGGTTCGGCCTCTTCAAGCCTGCCTTGCCCACGTAGGAGCTCAGCCAAGTTCTCCATCGTTGCCAGGGTGTCTGGATGGTCAGACATCTGAGCTCGACGTCCGTTCAGAGTTTCTCGAAACAAGGCCTCTGCCTCATCACGGTGCCCCTGGGCGTTCAGCAGCATGGCCAGATTGTTCATGCTCCTCAAGGTATTTGGATGGGTATCGCCAAGCTGCTTGCGACTTCCATCCAGGGCTAGTCGTTGCAGAGGCTCGGATTCTTCGAGCCTACGCTGTGTGCGCAGCAGCTCAGCCAAGTTACTGATGCAAGCGAGCGTTTCCGGATGAACAGGACCGAATTGCAAACGGCATCCATGTTCTGCCTCCCGAAACAAAGATTCTGCCTCTTGAAGATTCCCTTGTGCTTTTGACAACATGGCCATTTTGTGTGTGTTTCTGAGAGTGTTCGGATGCATTTGACCAAACTGCTTTCGACTTCCAATTAGCGCTTCTCGCTGCAAGGGCTCTGCCTCCTCGTGCCTCCCTTGTACCCTCAAAAGCTCAGCGAGGTTGCCGATGCTTGCTAAGGTGTTGGGAGCATTGCCATGAGAGCGCCATCCAGCGAGTGAGTCTCGATGTAAGGACTCGGCCTCTTCAAACTTTTTTTGGGCTTTCAAAAGCTCAGCCAGGTTGTTCATGCTTGTAAGCGTGTTTGGATTCAGGTCGCCAAACTGCTCACGACGCAGTTGAAGGCACTCCCGGTACAAATCTTCGGACTCTTCATGCTGACCTCGCGCAGCCAACCGCTGCGCCAGCTCCATAATGCACGTTGCGATGTCCTCACCATTGCTTTCAAGGCGCAATTTCTCAAGGCGCTTTCGCAGAATGCTAACAAAGGCCTCTGCATCGTGAAGAGCATTCAGAATCTGACCAGTTTGATCAATGATACGGATCACCCACACATCTCGGTTGCGATCCACTGCTCGGCCCTTGTAGTCTTCCCCAAGAGCAATGGGCCGTCCACCGTCGCATTCCAAGCGCTTTTCTTGCATGTCGGGCGTCTGCCGCTCGAAAATGCTGTAAGCTAGCCTAGTCGGCACCACCAGGGGAATGCAGTGGCCGGATCGGCCACTCCAAGTTCGCAGCACTTCTTGACTGTCAGCATCTTCAAAATCAGCACGCAAGGGGCTTCCATTGCTGTAATTGTTCAACAGAACCCTCATGCGTCTGCCCCATACAGCCGGCTCATGCTGCGTCACATAGATCCCCTTCCCAAAATGAGCGCGACTGTCCACCAGGGAAGCTAAGAGTTTTGCAGCAGTAAGCTGCATGTCGCCCACATTTAAGAAGGTCAGTTCATTGGTGTAATGATACAAAACAACGGCATCTTCCTGTTTGCTTGTGGTAGCTGAGTTCAACTCGCGTAGGTCGAATACATGCCGCCAGACGTGCACGTAGCCGTCTGGGGCATTGTATCTGAAACTGTACACGTTGTGCACCTTGCTTGCCTCGTACTGCTTGCCTTGGAAGACAGCACCCTCGAAGTAAGGGCCACCGAAGTATGCAGACAGTTCTGCATCCTCCCTCTTGAGGCGCGCCCGTTGTTCAGGTAGAGGGTGCTTTTGAAGGTGTGCAAAGCAGTACTTGCACAGGTCATAGTCACAGTCTTTGGGGCAGCAGTAGTGTGTGCCGTGCTTGTCGCAGCTGTCGCAGAAGTGGTCAGGTCGCTCGTCGGGTTCCAAGCTGTGGCCGTCTGGGCAGGCAGGCAAGGGACCAGCATCCTCTGCACAATGCGGCCCAGAAGCATGCTTGGAAACAGAGTCCTTGCTTGAGCGAGTGTTTGCAGTGGGGTTTAGGGTTTAGCGTTTCCGGCGCCTAAACTTAAAACCCTAAGCCCTAAACCGTGTGGTTGAGTGTTGGGGCGAGGAGAGGGGTTTTCTGT